CACATTTGTCTTTTACTGCTGGGGAACATATGTCATTGATGGTTGTTGTAATGGGAGAAGCATGTCGATGCGCCGTCACATAGCCTTGGAGTCGCCCGGGGTGATTGATTCCATCTGCCCTGATAGGAGTGACGATGGATCTTCATCCTCATGCTGAAAAGCCAAACTAACTGTTTTCCTCTTCTAACCCTCTCCGTCATCTTTCACTCCCTCCCGCCCTCGGTTTTTCTGCCTTGCTTGTTCTCCCTTTTTACATTTGGGGGATTTACACATGAGCCAGCTTATGAAGCATGGCTTATCTGCTAACATTGTCTCATTATGACAACAACATCACATTCCATTATGCTCCTGCCCTCCTGGTTTCTGTTTCTTTGTACCTCAAGTTGTTGCTTTTTTTGGGGGTGGGGGGGCTTTGACTGCCTCTACTGTTCCGTTTTTTAACTGTAATAACTAAATTATTTTCAACTGTTGCTAGGTGATAGGGCTAAAGATGTTAATGCTCCCCTGAATTACCACCAAGGTGACGTGTTGAGCGCCAAGGTCTTTATCTGTGTCAAGCTCTTTCCTGATGAGGAGCTTGGAGCTTCAGACGTCACCTTAGTGGTAATTAAAATTATATGGGAGAATAAAACAGCGTGCAGACTGTATTTTTCTGTCTTTTACCTGTTCTTCTGTCCAGCACCTTGTTTTCGTTGTCTGGATGTGCGCGTTTTTGTAAACCTTACGGGCACGTCCCTACTAGTCAAATGCCCGAACCACCTCAACTGACCTCTTTCGACGTGCTCTACTCCAAGCTTCCTGTGGATGTCCGAGCTCCTCACCCTATCTCTAATATCTCATAATATCAATCTTATTTTATAACCTTAATCTTATATAAAACTTATCATTACATAACATTTTCACACTATGTGATGATAATATTTAGCGTAATTAAGTCTATTCTTGCTCGACCCATGTATTTTTCTCAAATAAAAAAAGACCAGGCATGTTATTAAGATTATTCTATGTATAAAAAATATTTTTAGGACCAAATTGATAAGATAAAACCATCTATTGGCCTTTATCACGTGTGTGTGAGCTCTGTGTGCACGTTCCTTACCTGAAAAGGTCTGAGGGTGTCCCCACTTGACCCTTGTGGTAAATCTGCCCAAATAAATGTTGAGTATTGTTTACTTTTGTTTTACATTATTTATTTTTTTTTTGCCATTCTACTTTTGTTTGAGAGATGGCATTGAAGAGGCAAACTGGAAACGAGGGGATAGAGAGGAGCACAGGACATGCAACAAAGCGCCCAAGGCTGGAATTGAACCCGGGATGATGAGGTTATGTGGCACGCACTGTAAACACTGGGCCACTGGTGCTGCCAGTTTTGTGTTGTTTAAAAGTAATTGCTTCCAGATAAATATTACACAATGCATTATTGTATTACACACACATCCTGTATTAAATGATGGCTGTGTCTTAAATTTTACTGCACCTGTCAGGGGCAGAGCTCTGTTTTGGATCGCTTCACCATCCCTACTGTGTTACAAAACAGATGTTCATCTGTTTCTAAGACTCCAAACCACTGATGTTTTCGCCAGCAGCGTCATCTTTAAGAATAGTTTGAATCTATTTATAAAGACACATTGTCCGTGTAAAAACATATATCAAACTGATCTACAGCCATCAAATTTTGGCCTCTTAGTTGGGTCCAGGTCACAACAGTAGCACATGAGAGCAGTTTAGGCCAACTTTTCCCCAGATGTGTCCTCTATCTCACTGTGGAGGATACTGGAACATTTTCCGGTTGGGATACATTATCTCTTGTAAATGTTCTGGGTCTTTTCCAGGGTCTGTTCCTGATCTACTGAGCTCAGGATACTTCTTTAGGGGATGTATAGTGTAGCAAGAGCTTTGGTTTATGTATAAATGAATAGCAGTGTAAAAATAAATGAGACATAAGGTAAATACACAAATATGGCTTTCATTTTTCCTCTTTTATGCACCTCCCAGCTGGTGTGACTTTGGGTAATCACGGAGTTTGGCTTTGCTTTAAAACGGACCTAGTTAGATGATTAGTTTAATGAGTATTGACTCTCAGCCTTTTTAACTTCATTTTATTGCATCCACTTTTATTTTATTTCAAAGATCACAAAGTGTTCTGACACCATGCAATCCAAAATGCCTACTTTACATTAAAACAAACACTAACTAGTTGGCAGTGTCGTTGTCTGTGCTGTTATTGGTTGCTCTGGCAAGGACCTGCTCCATTAATTAGCCAGTTGGTTAGCCTGCAGTGGAGTAGTATTAGTGTTGTGTTGGCCTATTCAAATGCTGCTTTCTGACATCTCCCTGATGAGATGCAGCCCATTTCCATTGAAACAATAACAGCAATCTGATTTGGGATAAATGATGTCTTTGTCTATTGTCTATTGGAACAACAAAAACCATTGGCACGGAAAACGCTCTTCTCTCAAGAGCCCTGCCTAGCCCTATTCACACATGCAAGCCCAAGCGCACAGTAGGGATGGGTTGATATGCATTCTCAGTCTTACAAAAGAACATATTCTGAGATGTACACATTTGATCTTACAAGGTGTGAAATGAAAAAATCTTGTTGGATGACAGCTTTAAAAGAGCAATACATTTTGTACTTCTTTATATGGGTGAAGAAGTGATTTAGTTAGACATTCAAAGCTCTTGGATGGAGTGCTATAAATTTTCACATTTTATATGGGTGTAATATCTTATAACTTATCACACACCTGGCTGTCAAGTTGCTTGACAGTGAAGTCACCACACAGTGGTGGCTGTAGCTGCATTTAATTAGACAACTGAATTCTAGACAGATCAGTGTTACACACACTGACGGGACTCACTCCAAACTTGGCCTGTTTTTTTGACAGTGACAGCTTAAAGAGACATTTTGACACAGGGCTTCGGCACTGTCAGTACTCTGATAACTAGCTATCACAACACACATTCATTCTGTGTGTGTGCCCCAAACCCCTGTCTGTTTGTTTCTTTCTGTATCCTTTGGGATCAACCCTCCGTGATTTCACCCCGTCCCTCTCTTGGAACTCGCACAAGGCTTGCAGAGCTCCTAACTCTTGAGTACAAACTAAATGTTTGAAACTTGTAAGGCCTTAGTGATTCAGGTTAACTTAATTGGTAACTGACAGTGTGTGGTGCACTTGCTGTGCTGAGGGTGGTAATCTGTCTCATTGATGTACATAGCAGGGCTGGGTTGGGTCCGGCTGGAATCCACGAAGAGGAGTGGAAAGAAGGAATGGGTAATGAGCAGGAGGAATCCATTTCCTTTTGATTTTAGAGACATCAACATGCCGTCGCATCCCAGAGGGAAGCCAGATGAAGAGAGGAGAGAGATGCGTTCAGAGCCGATGTGATGGCGGAGTTTGAGCGAGCCTGGAAGAACAGCGAGGGGTACAGAAATGAGTGAAGTCCTCTTTAAGGAAAGCTGGGATTTCACCAGCGTCAGCAGAAAAGCGTTTGCGCGTGTAACTTTATATGCGCGTCTGCAGGGACTGTGATAAAATGGGTGCTTAATGTCCTGCCCTCATCGCCCTGATTTATCTCTGATTGGCTATAATGACACAGTTAGGGCTGTCCATCATCTGCTGCTGGAGATATGACACCCAGGCAGCCCTCCATCATGATATGTGTGTGGAGATGATTGTAGGAGGTCAGTTTTACTGTATGTTACTGTGTCCCATGGGGCTGAGAAACACTGTATAGCTGCACAGGTTTGTCGTGTGCAACTCGGGCGTTATTCACCTCTTGACCCTACCACTTAGCCCTCCATTTTGTGCGTTCTCATCTAAGGGTTGGGTGTTCCAATTCTTGGCCGTAGAGAGGGAAAGGGCGAAGTGTCAGGGCTACATGAGAAATCAGCAGCAAGATGGCTGCACAAGCCACAAAAGAAACCTAAAAATGTTCTTTCTTTATTCATTGAGATTTAAAATTATGATAGCTATCATATTGTGGTCCTTTTCTATATAACAAGTGCACACACATACACACAATAAAATGCTAGTAGTAGCCCACACTAATGTCTCAGTAGCCAGCTAGCTAATGTAATGTTCATTCCCACATTTTGACGTATTTCCATGTTTCTAAAACTTTTGACCCGGTGAATCCAAGTACGATTGCAGTGTTGTCTTTGTTAAACTCGTGTGGCTGTGCAGGCTTTACTTTTTTTCTCATGCAGGCTGTTATTTAATAGCCTTGCACCTACATGATGTGCATATAATTACTCACTCTCACCATGTTATTAAATCTCTCATAAATATAAGGGTGAATGAGTGGGTTGGAACTTGTCATTGCGTGTAGGTATTTTAATATTTCAACATGGGTATCGTCTATGATTGTTATCGTGGTTATTGTTGCTTGGCTGTAACTGAAGCCGCTGTCTTGGCCAGGCCTCCTTTGAAAAAGAGGTTGTTGATTTCAGCAGGACTTCTTTGGTTAAATATGGGTTAAATAAATAAAGAATAAATAAAATAGGGGAGGATTTCAGCTACTATTCCTCACAACTCTGATCCAAAGGGACAAAGGAGCTCAAGCATGACATGTAAGGGTAAAAAAAATAAGAAATGGGATTGGCCCTTAAACAAAAGGATATAAAAGTGATTTAATAGCTGACTAGTAATACAGTGGCACTGTAAATACTTTTTTGATAAATCTTTTAAAGCACCCTTCAAAATAAATTATTGCTCCAGAGCAATGCTTCGTCTGATGTATATATGAACTCACTTTAACTGTAACAGACATAATCATACATCATTTTTATGTCTGATTGTTTTTGAAAACCCTTGGAATGAGAAGATGGGAATGTTGATTGGATGATCATAAGCTCCTTATATACAATTTTACAAGCCCAAAGGACTCTGAACATTAAAGCTGATTACCGTGATTACAGTGATGAGCCAAGCCATTTATCTCTGTCTGCTTCTCTCTTCCCTTTTCTCTCTCCTTCTATCCGTCTCTGTCTCTCACAGCGCATACAGAAGCCTCCAGTGAAGGGAAGCCCGTCGGGAGACTGCCTGGAGGTGACAACCCGCACGTGAACCCTTCCAAGCCCCCCTCAGTGAAGGTGATAGGGGGCTCGGCACCTGCCAGCTGGGCACGGCCCTGGAGCCTCGCACTGCTCTTCACGGCACTTGGCTTGCAGTGGACTCTGTTCTGATGCCAGCACCCTCTGTGAATCCCCCAACGACCCCTGCCCCCCCTTTAGGAACCACATACATGCACAGAGACACTCATATATACATATCACGCATAGTATCCCTACTCATGTCCTCAACGTGTACGGATGGCTGGTAATGATGGAAAAAATGGAAAAGGCGTGGAAGAGAAGAGGACAACGTTGTAGGAGACAGTAGACGGGGGGCTCTTGCAGGAACTTGTTGTCCTGCAGCATCACCAATGTGGGTGTTTGCACAAGCTAATCTCATGCACGCTCATCTACAAAGATTAGGCCGGCTGCTTCTTCTAGGCTGTTTGGGACTAGACGTTTGTGTACAGACACCAGTACGGCCCAACCACTTACACGACACACCCTTTGTGGTTCAGAACGGGACTGCGTCATTCTGATTTTACTTAAAAGTGCTTATACAGACTCGCATACACATATACAGTACAAATACAGCCGTCTTCTCTTTCTGCTGTTGGTTTTTACTTATCCTTTCATCATAGCCTCTGCACCATTTGCCAGCCAGGCAGAAGAATTCAGCTCATTTAAAAACTCTCCTCATTTTCTTTTGGAGGATTAAGGAATGCATGATAGACTGATAGATCAATCCCAGGTGCCTGGCCCAGAACAGCAGATTTGATATACTCTAATGACTGTGTACCTTGGCGGGGATTAGAATGTAATGAGTTCACAGGTAGAGCACGGGCACAGTTGCACGGCTGAACACATTGTGCAGACAAACTAGGTGTGTATAGTATGTAACTGTATATAGGTGGAAAAGATTTGACGGAGTGTATGAGGTCCTGATTCAACAAAAAGCTCTTAACTGATTGAGCTGAATGGGGTTTTCTTTTCCCTCAGCTGTGAACGGACTGCGCTTGTCTGCTCCATACTACATATAAAACAATGCAAAAAAAAACAGTTAAACCTATAGAGATTTAATTTCTATCAGAAGTAAAGCAGGAATGCACATCATTTTTCCAACTCAAGCCATTGACATAAATGGTTACATTTTGGATGTTTGAACAAAGCCTGTACATTGTTGATTTTACTAATGTTTATTGTGCATCCAGTTTTGTGTGTTTGCTCGTTGAATTGCACATTAATGCATGTATAACCTACCAAGTTATCAAAATTGTTATGGTAGGACCAGGCCCTTCTTTAAGAATCACCAAAAACTCATTTCCAGTAAAATTTCCTGATGGCGCGACGACAGGTTTCATCTTCCTCTCTCAAATGACGGTTTGAAACTTGAAAACAAGAGGAAGGTTGGGCTGCAGATTGAACACAAATACAATTTAACACACACACAAAAAAGACGTGTAGAGTATTTTTTACAAAGCTGTGTGCATCTATTGTTCAGAACAGTGGTGGCCATTGTGTACAACCCACGTCCTGATATATCCTACATTTTGCCAAATAAGCTCTAATGTCTCTTCACTCTATCTTAAGCAGACCATTCCTTGGAATTCCAACAGAATAAAAGCAAATCCTTCTTAGTTTTAAATGATTCCTCATGGGGATGGAGCAAAAGGGAAGTTCAACAAAAAAAAACAAAACTGTGTGACTGTTATAACGGCTTCCTCTGTATACCTGCTTTCTCTCTTGTGTAGAGGACGGCTTATGTACTGGTACAGTAAAGTACCTGTGTGAATGAGGATGAATGTATGGTCAATGCTATGCAGATACAGTATTAAGCCTGATAATGCCTGAAAGCTACACAGATACAGTATCTAAGCTAAATAGGTCTATACACTTACATGGGTCTATGTGCAGTGAAATACCTCTTCCATTAACTAGCCTGTATCATAAACAGAAAAGCAGCTCACCGTTGACTCTGCCTAAAAGTGGAAGGATGACCTGCTTAACTACCTGCATTTACACAGTTATAGACAAAGTGTTGCAGTTGATGAACAGAGACGACTGCAGCGATGTAGGGTGTTAGCAGTTTAAATGTGTCACATCTTGTGTTCTGTAACCACATTGTGTTTAGTTCATATGATTTCCTCCGTGTATGTTTTGTTCATGACTGTCGTTCATCACACCCACAGACACTTACAGCCCTTTACCCTCGCATGTGTATAAATGTACATATTTTAAGTCACTTGCCTTTTGTGTCTCATTTCGTCTCCTTTTGTATCGGTATGATACACTGAAGCTGAGCTCTATTAAAGGCGCTCTGCTTTTCTGCTTGTCTCGATAGCCTCTCCTTAAAGAGTATGAGTCACAAAAGACCAGTGTTGTAGTCAAGACCACCTAAACCGAGACCAAGACGAGACCAATACTAGAGTGTATCAAGACCAAGACAAGACCAAGACCAGAGTGTATCGAGACCAAGACAAGACCAAAACTAGTGTGTATCAAGACCAAGACGAGACCCACACCAGAGTGTATCGAGACCAAGACCAGAGTGTATCGAGACCAAGACGAGACCTAGACCAGAGTGTATCGGGACCAAGATGAGACAAAGACCATAGTGTATCGAGACCAAGACGAGACCCACACCAGAGTGTATCGAGACCAAGACCAGAGTGTATCGAGACCAAGACGAGACCCACACCAGAGTGTATCAAGACCAAGACGAGACCCACACCAGTGTATCGAGACCAAGACGAGACCAGAACCAGTGTCTATTGAGACTAAGACGAGACCCACACCAGAGTGTATCAAGACCAAGACGAGACCAAGACCAGAGTGTATCAAGACCAAGGTGAGACCAAAACCAGAGTGTATCGAGACCAAGACGAGACCAAGACCAGAGTGTATCGAGACCAACACTTTGGGGGGTTGAGACCAAGTCAAGACCAAGACCAGGAGTCTCATTTATAAACACTGCATACGCGCAAAACAAGGCCTGAAAGAGGCCTACGCCACTTCTCACATAAAAGTTATGATCCGTAAAACCAATGCTTACGAACATTTTGGCAGGGCAGATGGTTAGGTGGAAGCCTGATTGTAAAAATTGTCAAATATTTTTTGGCGCACGCCATTTTTGGCTTTTACCTGTACATACATTTTTAGTTTGGATCCTGTGCATTGTTTTGTACATGAGACTCCAGATCAGTGCAAATCCAACACTGCGTGACACAAAATGGGGAACAGCAAACCACAGGCACTCCTGAATCTGATGTGAAAGTTCCTCATTCCCGTAAAAACACCCAGAAAACAAAGATTCCTCTTCATTCAACTCTTTTGTTGCCATACTGTTTGTGTATAAGTGTATCATAACAAATGTCTTGAAAAATTAATCATTACGTACTGCAGGGGCGAATTTTACGTGTGGGAATGTTCCTCTGTTTTCTATAACCAAACAAACAAGCTAAAATCAGCTTAACCTTCTTTTTTGCACAGGCAATTAGTTATATCCCCACAGCTGTTGACCAGTCTTGAAATAAAATCCAGTGTTCTCTTTATCTGAGACAGGACCAGGTAAAAATGTGCTTGAGTCTGAGACTAGTGCTTTAAAAAGTGGCCTTGTTAAAGGGCCCCACGCACCTTTGGCACTCACTTATTTTTCCTGATTAGTCCTTGTCTTAGGACTGTGTGGGCTCGCACAGACTGATTGACAGCTGTAGGTGTGCAGGCTTTTACATATTTCATGCTGACAGCACTCACATTGCCCCTGTCTTCAAAGAGGAATATTAAACAGTGAGGTGACCACATTATGCACACCCACTGTTAGGCTACTTTCTAAGCCTTTTAAAGGAAGAATTTGACATTTTGGGAAGTATACTTAATTTGCTTCTTGCCAATAGTTGCAAAGTAGCACCCTTTAAAACATGGACTTTGTATCACGTAGAGACACAAGTCCTCAGGAAGTCACTTGCGCCCAGCCCAAGCCCCCGGGGACAGTGCCTAGCTGTGGAATTACAACTTCCGTATCTGTCATGTAATCCCACAGGGCCCAAAAAGACTTTTCCTATAGACTTAAATTTTGAAAGAGGTACATCAGCTTCTCATGAACACTTAAGTGTTAAGAGTTTCCTACTGTCATTGATGTGAACGAGACCGAAGGGTTGATAGGCGGGGTTAAAGAAAATTGCCCCTGCTCTGTGGGCCCATGGATGCGGACGGTGCGGATAATTTTATACCCAGAAGTTGATTTTTTTGGGTTGATTCACCACTGACCAACTTTCATGGGAGCAACTGGGCTCAGCCAACGCTGTATGCAGTAATCTTTCTACATCCATGGCACAGCCGAGATTCTCCAAAAATACAGTTACAGCATGTAATGTAAAATCACAACATGTTGTCTTTTACATTTTGATTTCTGTATGGATTAAAGAAACTAAATGAGCAAGTACATGACTTTTAGAGTTGTTAGAAAGTGCTTTTTTTAACTAGAGAGAGCCAGGCTTTCTGTTTCTAGTCTGTGTGCCATGCTAAGCTAATCACTTCCTGGCCTGAGCTCTATAGTTAGCTCATGAGAGTGGTACTGATTTTCTTATCTAACACTTGGCAAAAAAGTGAGTATGATATTTTCCCAAAATGTTGAACTACTTCAAACCAAGAAGACTAAGTAACTATGATAACATTGGCTTTCTTCCTGTCCCTGAAAACACATCACTGTTTGATTGACCATACTGGCCTGTAAGTAATGAGGGAGTAAGAACTGTAGGCAGAGCAAACCATCTCAGGCTGACCTTCTCTATTTGCATCCAGGAAGCCTCTTGCTAAACATATCAGTCTGTGTTCGCACCAGGAATAGAGGCAGAGGGGAGTGTGGGAGTGCAGGAGACGTGAAAAGGTTTGCTGCTGGAAAGGACAGTCAGCTGTGATGACAGCGGCGTCGACAGTGACAGTTTGCTCGCTCAGCTGATGTGTGGCTGACCCACTGGCTGCTCCTGCAGGGGAAACTTTGCCTGTTCATGGGCTATAATTGCCCTGAATTAGTCTGTGCCATCAGCTGCAGCGTTAGCATCACTGGTAGCCTAGCTGAGCTACTGTAGGGCACATATAAACACAAAGCAAGCATGAAGGGAGCCACTGTTGGTGAGAACAGACACATGTTTGTGGGGTGACGCACAAACAGCCAGAATGCCCTCAGTGACATTCAAATAGAGTGAGTTTATGGCCTAAAACAGGGTGTATGCCATGTGTTATGCATTATTTTAGCATCACAAGACAAAGTTAGATAGCCTACGCCAAAAAGCAGGGGTTGGACCAAGTCATTGTTTTGCAAGAAACAAGTCTCAAGCCTTTAAACTCAAGTCCCAGTCAAGTCTTAAAATTTGAGTTTTGAGACCTAAACAAGTCATAATGAGCTCTTCCCCAAATGCAATGCCATCTATGTGTGTTAAATTTACAAAAAAATCGGGAATGCTTTTTGAAGTTTGGAGGCTATTCATGTTAAAACTAGTTAGTTAAAAGTTACTTAGCATTTTTTAAGAGTATTTTTGGGCTTTTTGCCTTTAAATGACAGCTCAGTATTAAGTGTGAAAGGGGGACAGAGAGAGGGGATGACACGGCTTTGTACATGGGATGCACACTCCACCCTCAGAGCTACTGAACGCCCCAAAAGTTACTTAGCTTTAAGCTAACACTAGAGAAGGATTAGCTTGGTAACCATGTTAATATTAGCCTCAACTTACCCTTCTTTGTGCATCTTCAAATGTCGAATAAAGTTGATGCGTCTCCATCTAATTTTCAACCTGCACATTTTGCTGCAATTTTGTTGACCATTCTATAGTTACTGCACACAAATAAAATTATCATTGATATTATTTTTCCAACTGGTACTCAGTAACAGGACATTAAGTACTCCAAGGATGACGGTTTTATGTGCAAATGCGGAACTTAGTGTCACCCTGATTCCCTTGTCAAAAAAGCCTATGGGATTTTCCACTGGAGTTTGGCTAATTGCTGAAAACACACATATTTTTATCACTACTTTTATGATTTTTTTAAGCCTGAATGCAATCACCTTAAGTAAAATGCTAACACTAGGCTATAAACGAACTACACTGCGGTCACATGATTTAACTTCCCTACCACAACAAGGCTGTAAGGCTGTTGGCGTGATGACGTTCTGTAGTCTCATTTAGCCACTTGTTAGCAACCACCTTTTTTAAAACACATAAAAGCTTAAAAATTCAAAGTGAAGTACTTATAGATGTAATTTATGTCACAGAACAAAACATGAAAGTCTCCTGAGCTCGCATGAGCAGCAGAGCTAACCACCATTAAAAAAATAAACATGAACTTTGAGATGAGGGAACCGGGAGTGCAGAAATGTTAATTCACTTCCAGGTTTTAGGACTCTATTAGTTCCTCATGGTTCTTTCCTGCAGCTGAACTGGATGCTGTCAGATTGGTTCAAACAAAGTGGATCGTCTTGGGAATTAACTGTCAACTTAATGGGAATAAATGGCGTTAACGCGAGTTGATTCGGGAAATGAACTGATTTGTGGCTCACTTTTTAAGAACACATACTTTTTAATCTCTGATCTTGGTGGGAGGTATGAAGTATTCTTTCAGTCAAGAGGCTCAAGTCCAAGTAAAGTCACGAATCACTGGTGTTAAGGTCCAAACCGAGTTGAAAATATTTTTTGATTTTGTCAAGTTGAGTTTAAAGTCATCAAATTTGTGATTCGAGTCTGACTCGAGTCCAAGTCATGTGACTCAAGTCCACACCTCTGTCATAAAGACATACAATGAAGCAAAAATATTTAGAAGTAACATATATAATTGGTCTTCAGGGCAACGCTGGTCTTTTTTTCCTCCACAGTTATTATAAAAGCATTTCATGGCAACGTGTCAGGCGACAGTGGCCCTCCAAGTCTCACCACACCTCCCACTGTTTTAGCCATCAGCCTGGGAGCACATAACTAATAGCACTTTCCTGGCTAAAGCACACAATGTCCACGGGCTCCTTCTCACTCGCTTTGTGTCTCTCACACACACACATACACTTTTACGAACACGAAAATCATCGCAAATACACACCGGTGATCTCATTCACACACACCCTGTCCCGCAGTTGTACACTTCCAATTGCACGCAGTCTGTATTTGATCCTTGGAGTCTATTTCATGCTTGTTGCTGTGAAACTGAGTGTCTGGCTGGCTGCAGCCGAAGAGCAGAGAGAGTGCCCAGTCCAAGGAT